CTGCTCTGAAGCATGATGGATCCTCATGAAAAATATGAGTGCTCAAGGACTTAATTTATTTGAGGTATTACCGAAGCCGTACTATACTCTATATCTTTCTGGAGTAAAACCTTATTATTACATATCTGAAAAAAAAAAAAAAAATTGAAAATTGTAGCCGTATGACGTTTTCTAGTCACTCGGAAGCAGCATAGATATGGTAATGGAATATTTCCTCTGAGCTCATGATTGTTTGCAAATTTAAAAAAATCGCGCAGCTCTAGGACTACTTTTAAGAATTGACCATTTTCCCGGTGATTCTGTAAATCCAGAGGACCGTATTCTGGGCACTCGGTAGCAGAATCGACATGTTGATGTCGTTTTTTATCTATGCTAATGATTATATGCAAGTTAGAAAAAATCGCGGATCTCTAGGTCTACTTTCTGGAATTGACTAGTTTCCCGGTGAAACCGGATATCCAGAGTGATCGATATGGTGATGGTATAATTCTTCTATGCTCATGATTGTATGCAATTTAGAAAAAAATCGCGGATCTCTAGGTCTACTTTCTGGAATTGACTAGTTTCTCGGTGAATCCGAATTTCCATAGAGCCACCTTTCACTGGTTTTATCGTTTTGATTGGCCACCCACAACTCCAATCGGTTCCTTGTCTGTTCCTGTTGAAAGTAGATAGTCATACCTTTCAAGTAGTGGCCCAATCTTAAGATGTGGTAAGCAAATTGCCGAGAACCAGTCATGTCAACATGAATCGACACGCATTTTGCTCGGGACTTTTCTGGGTTTTTTCCGTTCCGGCTGGCCATCCATAGGTCCACTTGGGTTTCTAGCTATTCAAAATAAAATTAAATAGCCGTATCTTTCGATTGCTGGCTGAATTATAACGATGGGTCATCGCATTGCTGAGAACCAACTATGTCAACTATGAATCGACACGCATTTTGCAGCCTTGGTACTTTGAGGAAGTTTTAATGGCTTGGGATTATGTCAGTTAATAAGATTTTATTAACAAGCGATTGTACAGCTGTTATCGTAGATTTAAAATTGGAATTTGCTAAGAGATAACCTCGCTAAACTTATTGATTTGATGAAATCATCTAGAATTTTCCCATTGTCTTTAACAGAACAGATGAAAGGCTTGTGGGTCTAAAGGATTTCGGAGTCGTTTTATCTCTTTTTTCAGCTTTTGGAATGAAAACAACTCGAACCTTTCTTCCTGCTTTTGGTATGTAGCTCAGAATAATGGCCTTGAATAGTTCACTAAGGAGCGGGCTGAGCGTTGCTTTCCCCTGTTGAAGAAATATTGGGAATATTAATATCTTTCCCAGTAGATTTGAAAGGTTGAAAAGAACTCAATGCCCAAACAACTCTAGATGGCGTGAAGATTTCACAAACATTCTGATAAGCATCTATCCACCGTTCACGTCTCGCCTTTTCAAAGTCCTGTTCTTCAGGCAAAAATGAAGTCGACTCTGGGATGTGAGTCTTCATCATTTCTTCCAGTATTTTAGAAGAGTCAGCAGTAAAACTACCATCTTCTTTTTTTTAGGCTGCCAAGACCATTTGAATGGTCTTTTGAAAGAACTTTATGCATCATTGCAGCTGCTGGAGCGTTATTGATGTCTTCCCATACCCGTCTCCAATCGTTCCGTTTAGCTCGCCTCAGTTCTCTGTTGTACTCAGTTAAGGCCTTTTTGCATTGACACCAATCTGAAGTAGCTTTAGCTCTATTGAACAATTGTCTGGACAACTTCCTCAATTTTGCCAGCTTGTCGTTCCACCAAGGAACATCGCTATTAGATGATCATGTTGGATAGGGAAACTAGCATGATATGATGAGATCATTGTGTTAATGATCGCATCAGAGGCACTTTCTAATTGTGAGTGCATCTTAATTTGAATGTCATTAATTGAATTATCTTTCATTAAATGAAAATGATAGAGGTCCCAGTTACCCAAGTAACCAACAAACCCGCTAATTCGCCTTTTTGCAATATAAGGCCAATATGTGGCTAATATAAAGTTTAGCATGCCTTATGTTATGTTTTTAAGTCTTCTGATATTAGTGATCCATACGTTCAAAGATTGACCATTTTTAGGCACACAGTCGAATTATTGTTATGCTTGCTGAAGTGCTACGATTTATTGAAAAATCTTTAATACGCCATTTTGAAATAATTTGTAAGAATGAAAATGGCCGAATTTTAGCAGAAATGTGAATGATTGCCCATAACAAATATTTAAGCAAAGTTTCAAGCAAATTTGAGAAGGTCAAGTCAAAAGATTTTTTTTGCTAATTGTCCTGGAACTGCTCATTGGCAATAATCTCGCCACCCAGAAGTCAAGCAGATCTGAAAATTTGACGCGATGCTTGTTCTCCGCAGCTATGACTTCAAGAGCAAATTTTCATTACGTCGAATGTAACAAAGGTAAACAAAGTCGAGCTATCAGTGTCAATCGATGCTCCTACTATTACACTATATACTGTCCGAATATAGGATCACATCCCATTTTTAAATTTATTTAACAGTCAAATTGCTTTTTGACGTAATCACCATCCGATCAAAATAGTTTTCGATGTTACTTAATTAACCCGATTTCTATGGAGATGCCGTTTGCCTTAAGTAACAGCACTGAGAAACCCGTGAAAAGTGTACTTTCGTCGTTTCGCTTTCTCATTATTAAAGTGAATAAATCGAACTGTTTGTTTTTAAGATGATTTCGGTGGTCCTAAAATGATAAATGGGCTGCAAGTAAGGAGACGTAATTGATAATTCTCTCGAATATCCTGGTAAATACACTTTGACTTAAGTAACAATAGGGGCCACCAAACGACGTATAATAACTTTTGACTCAAAAACCAGTATTTCTTAGCATGAAAGCTAGCGATTTGCATTTGTATGATTAAAACCCGGCTGAATATGTTTAACATTGCTATCACTATGAGATTATATGTGTTTAATTGGAAATAGGAATAATTTTTCGGTCATCAAAACAAAACTTTATTTTTCTCGAATCGGTACGAATGTTACTTACGATGTAATGAAAATTTGCTCTTGACTTCTTCGTCTCCTTCTTCTTCTTCTTCTTCCTCGCATTTCAAGCTTATTGCTTATCACATATTAGCTTATTGCGTGCTCTCTCAACTTAGTGTTCTAGATGTACTTCCACAGTTGTTAATTGCGAGCTTTCGATATTTGCATTAGTATAATTGTGTGACAAGTACCAGTGGTATAAATTCTCAAAATGAATTGAATATTTTTGATGAAAATGAGAAAAGCAACTAGGGGAATTTACGTATTCTCGTCAATCTAAGCAGCGTCCGATCTTCTATTAGCGATTTCTCAGCGTCACACACATACATGACAGGTTTGTTTGGTGAAATTTATCTGCTGCTTCCTGTTCTACCAATTCCAATCGACAGAATTGATCAAAACGGGTTGAACATGTTTTTACAACGCTCCAAACTTATCGGGTGAGTGAGACTATTGTCGGCAGTCTCTTTTTCTTCGGCACCCTTTCCATTTGAACTGCGTGTTAACCAGCTGTTCTATTATCGGCGAATTGGAAATCAGCCGTATTTTGTAGTGTGTATATTTCATTTAAAGAAAAATATGGCATAACAGGATTGCACAGTCGTAAAAATGTAATCAGGTTGAAGCTGAAAAGGTAAGGAATCGGCTTTATACATTCAGCGAAGAGTTTTGATGGGAAAATACAGTGAAATTAACGTTTCAATTTCGGTTGCCGAAAGCAGCCAATGGGTGCCGAAGCCATAATTTACCCTATCTGCTATCAAAGTATCCTTCCCATCCTTCGAATGGGCGATATCAGTGGCTTAGTCATTTGACCAAGGTTTTGGATCATTCTCATTTGAGAAACGATTGATATCATTCAATTGTAACCTACATATAAACGGAGCTCTGGTCAACAATCCGGCGAAAAAGCTAAGCCAACCCGGCACCAACCTGATTTCTACCAAACCCCAACCCGATGTTGACCCGACATTGACGCGACATAAATCCAAAATTGACCCGACAACAACACGACACTGGGTCGACATATACCTTAAATTTGCCTAACATTGATCTGACATCGGGTCGACTTGTCTGTTCGGAACCATTTTGCTGGGTTTCTTCCATACTTCACTGTCGTATATCAAATGATAGTGAGTGACTCAATTGACAGAGACGATGAGCTTCGAATGAGAAAGAGGCTCTGCAAATTATGGCCATGTGAGAATTCGTTTTCACAAAATTGATTGAATGGTTGTATTGGTTCATCTTCAATCGAATGATATGAAAATTAACAGCACTGGCAAGTACAATCATAATTTTCAAATTTTCCAACTAGAAAAAATCCTAGGCCGGACCACGAAACGAACCCAGCCACCTCCAGCATGGTCTTGTTTTGTAGTTGCGCCATTACCGTCTAAGCAAACACTTAGATTAATTTTAAATTTTGAACAATAAATAGCCTCGGTTCGAGAAAAAATATTAGCTGGAGAAAGTTCTGAAAAGGACAGATTTGACAGCACCGTTTGAGTACGGCAGTATGAAAATTTAAATAGAAGTTGAAATTGAGCGAGGTGATGCCAATACGAATCAACAGAGAACTTCTTTTGCCAAGCTACCTATTTGGTTGGGCCGGGGGATAGCGGGGGGACTTTCTCATCGGGACTGGCAAAAGAAGTGCACGCAACCAAATTCATTTAAATTTTCACAGTTGCTGGGAACCTCAATACCTCAATATGGAAAGAGCAGTTGAGAGGATCAATCCAAATACTGATACTGTAATCTTCATAAATTGACTTCCTAAATGTACAAGGGGAATAGCACAATAATGGCTTATTTTGTTGTTATATATCATCGTGCAAAAAAAAATCATACCGTTCACAGTTAAGCTCGTACTTTTCCAATTAAATCCACATGATTTTTCATTTCTATTTTATTCTCTCCCATTTTCTGTTGCTGCATCGTACCTGTGGACAAACGCATATAGGTTGCAATTAAAATAATCGATAAAACATGTCTCGACGAAGAGAACCTGGCGAAAACGTTTCGCGAAATATCAATACTAAAAGTGTTGCACCATCCGCACATAACGCGCTTGTACGAGGTCATGGAGTCACGTAATAAAATCTATCTAGTAACGGAGCACGCAGCGAGGGGTGAAATTTTCGACCACCTGGTGGCAAACGGGCGAATGAAGGAGGAAGAAGCGGCACGTATCTTTTCGCAGATTATCTCCGCCGTCGACTATTGTCACAGCAAGGGAATTGTTCATCGCGACCTGAAAGCGGAGAACGTCCTGTTGGACAATGAGATGAACGTAAAGCTGGCAGATTTCGGATTTAGTAACACCTTTTCGGAAGGAACGCCTTTGCGAACTTGGTGCGGTTCCCCTCCGTATGCAGCTCCAGAAGTATTTCAGGGGGTGGAATATGATGGTCCAAAGTCCGACATTTGGAGCTTAGGGGTGGTATTGTATGTACTAGTTTGCGGTGCCCTTCCCTTCGATGGCGCTACGTTACATGACTTGCGAAGTGTGGTTGTCGCAGGAAAGTTTCGCATTCCGTTTTTTATGTCACAAGAATGCGAGCACCTCATTCGGCACATGCTTGTGGTGGAACCAGAAAAACGCTACACGTTGAAACAGATAGCGCAGCATAAATGGTTGGAAATGTACAATTCTATTCCGATGCTCGAGAAAATATCTTACCAGCCAACGGAAGGCGCAAATCTAGACACAATTGTAATGACTCATATGTTACAACTTCCTGGCCTTACAGCCGACATGATCGCACAGTCCGTACACGAAAATCGCTTCGACCACATTTACGCAATCTATTATCTGCTAGTGGACAAACTAAAGCAGAAACGGAAAGAAAAAAATAGGTTACAACATCACGCCAGCTTAGCATATTCACGTTCCCGAAAGACTAGCATTACAACGGGTGTCGTAGACCGAACGGAGGTAATCAAGAATGATTCACTGGAAAGGCTCAGCCCACTTACAAACACGGGCTCCCCGATTATCAACATGTCCGCTGGCCTAAGCGCATCGGAAGAACTGGAAAAGTACGATACCGAATCGGCAAACATGCCGAAAACGCCAGAATCGACGGATCATCTGTTTCCTCCCACGTGCGCCAATGCATCGGCCAACACTCGACGTCACACCGTCGGGCCAGGGGATGTGGCCCATGAACAAGCATTGGCCAATCCGAATGCACCTATCAACTTCAAAGTTGGTTCTGCAGAACAGCAACCTCCAACGCAGAATGTCCCCATCAACATTCCGATGCTGCAGAATCAACCAATCCACAATCTCACAATCAAAGATCAGCATTTGTTGAAACCACCCACTGTTATGGGAGCGAGTAAGTGTTGTGTTGTTTTCATGTTTCTGAAAGTAGTGTACTAACGCATATTTTGTTTACAGCAGGTGCCTTTGGAAGACGGGCGTCAGATGGAGGTGCCAATTTGCACATTTACTATCCAACTACATCTAACATCAACGAGCAACCAGTCGCTGAGGTAGTGTACGGCAGCCAAGCGGCGCATGTAATGACGCCTGGGGCCGGTCCTGTGATTGTTGATCATCCAATGCCCGTTACCGGTGGTACTGAAGCACCTGATGATAGTAGTGATGAAATACAAAGGTATGAGCTAGTATATTGATTTAAGACTTCTTCTAGGTATATAGCATTTCCATTTCTTCTCGCGTCTCGCATTTTACCAGTAATGTGAAAGTGAAAATTAGATTAGATTAGATCAGATCAGTGCTGATAAAAATCATTTCTTCTACATTCAACTTAGCTGAAATGAAGACAACCTTAACAGATAGACCAACTACCGACATTAATTCGAATTTTGACATAACAACATTCTCTTGATCAAGGCAACCTCTGAATATCGAAGTCAACGTTTGTTTTTCTTCATTCGTAGCTGGGCTGGATGTTCATTATCAATTCATCGTGACAATATTCGTCTACATCTTGGTGGGGACAATTTTGAGAATCAATTGCAAAATGATTATTTTCATTTTACACATATATAGCGCTGAAGAACGTGTCATATTCGTTTACACACGGATCGATGGAAAATTATTGTTTTTGCGGAATTAATCAATGGCGTTTCAATGAGTTAGACCGAGTTTGGCGTCAAGAAGCAGTTTTCGACTTTTGACAATATCTCAACGATTGGTTTCTCTTTATCTACGGTACGTACGGAAAGGTAAATAAATTTGGAAGCCATCAGTACTAATAACATTCCGTTTGGTGCTAAACTGCGCTAGATTAAGAAATATTAAGTGCGGGTTATGCTTAATAGGCCGGATATGGGGCAGTTAACCCAATTAGAACTTCCCCAAAAGTCTAGAATTTCATTGATGTTTTACGTGTTTTCCTGATGTTATTTGAACTGCCCGAAAGAACACTGCATTTTTCTTGACTTTCCAGAAATTTTCAAGCATTTTATAAAAGTTCCCATTATTCTTCTGAAGTTAATTAAATTGCCATGAACTTCCTCGAAGTTCCCTTAATTTTCCTGAAATTTTGAAAACTTTGTTGAAGCTCGCGTTACTTTCCCTCAATCTTCCTCGATCTTCTATGGACTTCCTTGAAGTTTTCGGTGCTTCCCTGAAGTTCGCTAAATTTTCTAATAATCTGGAAATTATCCTGATATTCATATAACTTCGTTGAAGATCTCGCAATGACCCTGAAGTTTTCGGATGTTTCCATAGTTCTTCGGCTTTGTAATTTTCCTGAAGTTCATTAAACTGCTCTGATTATCCTCGAAACAATCGAAACTTCCCTGAATGTTATGAAACTACCTTAACATCTATAATCTTCTCTGAAATTCTCAAGACTTTCTTTCGAAGACTACAGAATTTCTTATAACTCTCGTAATTTTCTTAAAATTAATGGAACTGTCTTGATTTCCTTTGATCTTCGCTGAAGTCCCCGCATTTTTTTAAGTTCTCAGATCTGCCATCAAAATCACGGAATTCCCATAAAATGTACTCACATTTTCCTCATGTAAATGTAACTTCCCTAACTAACGTAAAATATTCTATGAAACCCTCGTAAAGCTGCTGAAGTTTTCCTTTAAAGTTCCAGACATTTCCATTATATACATTGATCTGTCCTAAGGTTTCCGATCTGTCCTATTTTTCTCGGAGTTTCCTTGGAGTTCTCCCAAATCTCCGGAAGTTATTAATTATTTTTCTTAAAGGCTTTTAAGCTTCTATAGCGAGAGTTTTGTCGACTCGTTTAGCCGGATCTAGATGCGCTTCCACTATTACTAATTGAGAGCTTTCTATACCAGCCAATGCATGTATTTGTTTATTGTGTGGAAAACAGAATGATACTCTATGCCCACGGAATTCGAGAAAATTTTCATCCCGAAAGATTTCCTCGACCAGACCGGGAATCAAACCTGCCGCCTCCGGCTTGGTAATACCAACAATCATTACGAAACTAACGATTTTAAATTGGCTCACTGCTCGACTAGCCTATTGGTCCCAAGCAAATCGATTAACGTATCCCATTCTAGTCAAGATTCTAGTACTACACAATGTTTGTTTTGATTCGCTATGAAAGTTTGACAGATAAAATGAGGGGTTATTGGATTTTCCTATGTTTCGAGGGGTGATTCGACTAGCTTGGGACCGAAGATAGTACCAGAGCTGAGCCAAAAAGTTGAGCACGTTTCACGATTTCTTTTGAAATCGTTAGTTTCGTATTGATTGTTGGTAATACCCTGCCTTTACTAACTACCCAAGTAGCACAATTATGTCCCAAAAAGTTTCAGCAACTTGTTTATAACTGAAATAAGTCGTATATAAGTTTCCAAGACCAATTTATAACTAGGGTGCTACTAGGGTAGGCTATCTGAGGCCCCTGAAGTTCTTTAGTACTTAAATAAATTGAATTGTCCTGATAACCTTTACACATCCCAGGAGTTTTCTGGACTACTGTGAAGTTTCCGTAATATATCTGAAAAATTTCTTAAGTTCACTGGAGCACTCTGGACTTTCCTGAAATTCCCGGAACATCTATCTAAATATTGCAAAAGTTAATGTAACTGTATTGAATCTAAAGAAAGATCGAAGAGTGAGAAATTTCCTTTTAATTCCGCTAACTTATTTGCTTATCCTTGACAGATACGCGTATTTCGTCTGCAATGTACATACTTCTTCAGTATCTTGTACTAATACTCGACTTTTCGATTGAATTTATCTGAACTTTCCCTTACAGACTTTATGTTTTTTTTTCTTACCTTGATTTGTTTTCCGTCGATCTTGTTTTCCGTGCTGAGCACCAATGCTACCGACACCAGGGATGCAGCTTCCATACCTGGACCCTACCTATTGACCCATCAATGCATGAACCGGGGACCAACGGCTTTACTTCCGAAGGAAGGCATGATCAGAGATGTTATACCTCAGAACATCCCGGGGGCGCCGACTGGGATTGAACCTAGGCCAGCTGGGGTGAGAGGTAATCAGCTTACCCCTACACCACCGGCGCCGCTTACAGACTTTTAATCTTACCAGAAAGTCTGGACTTCCCTAGAACATCCCTGATATTATTGGACCTTAGGATTTCTGAAAATTCTTAAATACCTTCTCTAAGATACTCGGATCATCGTTAAAGTTTCAAAAATTATCCCCAAGTTCTCTCTTCCCTGAAATTCTCTGTATTCTGGGAAGTTCTTCATTACTTCTTTAAACATCCTGCAGGTTTCCTTAACTTAATGGAACCTCATTATAACTCTTGAAGCTTCTCTGAAATTCCCAAAAAATTTCAGATTTTTTCAAATTTTAACTTATATTCCCGCAGTTTGTTTATGAAACTTCTGTGCAATTCTCGGCATTTCCTTTCATTCCTCAATTCGTTTTAAAAGTTTCCTCAATTTTCGTGAAGATAATGAGATTGTACTAATGGTGTCTTATGTTTCATTAAGTTCACGGAACTTCCCCGAAATTCTTGCAATTCTCCTGATAATTTCCCTGGAAATGCCCTGAAATAATAGAACTGCCCAAAACTTTGCCCAAGTTCTCTGGACTTCCGTGAATATTTTGGATCTTCTGTAATGTTCTTGACATTTTTGTCAAGTTCACTAAACTTCCTTGAAGTTCTTTGGACTATCCTGAAGTTATCGAATCTTCTTGAAGGTTGTCGCTATTCTAATGAAATCATTTAATAGCCCTGAAGTTTTTTTTTTTATCTGATTCCTTTATTTAGAAGGTTCAATCGCGTCAGCTTTACGGAGCCGAAAATTCATTGTTCATCGTTTGTAACAAAATTCACTTAATTCTATGTCCAGTAGGAGTTGGGTCGAATACTCGCGGCTTACCCGAGGTTAGAGGAGTACAGCTTTGGGGTGGGGTTCGTTGTCACTTCACAGCATTGTATGAACGATAATGCGTCGTCTGGAGTTCGAGCGGCTATTGTGACCAGTGGGTGACGATGAGACTCATCAAGATATGGGGCAAGACAAACAATGCCCTGAATTTTTCAGAACTGCCTGGAATAATACTGAGGAAATCTTGCAGTTTTCCTGTTGCGTGTCTAAATTTGCATTTATTTCGAAATTCAATTAGCTCTAAAAACATAACTTCTCAATCTTTTTCTTCACAACAAGATTTATTGTTCTGTTCGATGAACATCATGTTTTTTTCTCTCAAATGATGTAATTGGACCAATGGCAGCTAGACCGACGGTCCACGATCACATTGGGCATGCCGGAAATGTTACCGTGCCCGCGGGGAAGTGGCCAATTCTCAACAAGAACAAAACCTATCGTGCGACATATCAAACTTCATGATTTTACAAATCTTGGCTGGTTATGGCCTTATTGAGAGTTCTAGGTCACATTAGCCTTCCTGGACATGTTCCGGTACCCCCGGGGAAGTGGTCAATTCTAGACAAGAACCAAAACCTATTGTACGACATATCAAACTTCACGATTTTATAAATCTTGGCCAGTAATGGCCTTATTGAGAGTCAACAGTCACACTAGCCCTCCTGGGAATGTTCCGGTGCCCCCGGGGAAGTGGCCAATTCTCGACGAGAACCAAAACCTATTGTACGACATATAAAAATTTCATGATTTTACAAATTTTGGCCGATAATTACCTTATTGAGAGTCCATGGTAACACTAGCCCTCCCAGGCATGTTCTGGTGCCCCGGGGAAGTGGCCAATTCTCAACAAGAATTAAAACCCATCGTGCGACACATCAAACTTCATGATTTAACAAAATCGGCCGATAATGGCCTTATTGATAGGCCACGGACATACAAGCCGTCCTGAGCATGTTCTGGCGCCCTCAGAAATAATACGGTCTCCCGGAAAGTTACCAATTCTCGACAAGAACCAAAACCTGTCGTGCGACATATCAAATTTCATGATTTTGCCGAACTTGGCCAGTATTGGGCTTATTTAGAGTCCACATATTTCGACAACCTCTGAACATAATTTGAGTTGATGCTAGTTGGGTCAGACCTTGAGTTATTTACATCACATTCTTGCAACATGAAAGCGGCCAGATGACACACAATGAATGTCCTCAAAAGTATTCTTATTAGTTCGCAAAGGTAATTAAAATGTAATTCAATTGATTAAGAGTTGTCGCGTGAAATTTGCGTGAAACACACACACTTAGATTTTTTTGCCGAGATGGGCACCACCGAGCAGCTCGGCATTTTATTTTGCTGGATCTCAGTGAAAAACTTGCCGAGATTCAGCTAACAAACGGGAATTTTGCTGAGATCTCAGCTAACAAACATATTTTTTGCTGAATTTCCAGCAAAATAAAATGCCGAGCTGCTCGGTGGTGCCCATCTCGGCAAAAAAATCTAAGTGTGCACATTACCTAGACCTAGAACACTATATCTAAATAACGTTTTGATGGGCGACATAAACCAAGCATAATCGTAAGCGACCAGAAGGACATTTCTGGGGGCAATGGAACATGCCTTAGCATAACATCAAATTGAATACTTGTTTTGGTATTATCAGGAAAAATTGATATCAAATTAAGTTTTTATTTTGCTCTCACTGATAGCAGAAATAGTTTTCAATATGATGTCACAGGAAGATTTGTTTGCTCTCAATTGTGATATTTTTAACGACCAAAACGACAGCGTCCTAAGTAATCATTATCAGCGAATTTGATCTCAGCCTTTGCTCGGGAACTGTCATAAATTACTCAAGATGCCTATAAAGGCCAAAACGCAATGTGGACGGAAGCAGAACGAAAACGGGAAGTTTGACAGTTATGACAAATGACATCAAGAAGCCTAACCGATGTCGATTTGATTCTAACTAGTTTTCAATCCGACAAGTAGGCTTAGATCGGACTATTCCACTGCCACTGCAATTCTGCTATCGCTGTCGTTGCGCTTGCCCCTTTACTCATGAAGTAGCCGTGACCACCATGACATACATGTACTGTTTAGGAAAAGTAGGCCAAAATTGATTAGAAAAGTAGCTCTTTTCTATATAGTTTAAAAAATAATAACTTACAGTTTATTTTTTTCAAGAATCTAAGAAAAAAAAACAGATTTTCTTAGGCCGTCTTCTATTTGCTGAATTTTTACTTAAATTTGACACTTCGAAAATAAATTAAAATTTTCGAAAATCCATCTGTTGTTGATCATTCGATTTCGGAAAAGGTTTTTTCAAAAATTATTCCTTGAGGGTCACAAATAAGTCTGGTAGAATAGCAGGTTTATTTGTCAAATTTACGTGAAAATTCACCAAATAGAACACAGCCATAGATTTTTTTTATATATTTTCCATTTTTTTTTAAATAGATTAATCAAAATGCAGCAGCACAAACTTTGTTTTTTTGAGTGCTAAGCTTCTAGTTAAGAAACAGTTCTAAATTTGTTTACATGAAAAAGCAACTTTCATGGTTTGAAAACTCAAAGGGGTTGTCCAGACAGCACGTGGACAGTTCATGAAAGACTTTTGATCTAACCTGCTCCACGTGGGCCATTCTCACAAATTCCATTTAAATGACATTGTTTCCTGCATTTTATGTTTCTGTAACAAGTGATCAATATTCTTCAATGTTTCAGATATATGCATGGTCGAGGATGCACAAAGCGGCACACTGTGGGCTGTACCGACGACCTATCTAATAGTAATGCAACGTCAATGGAACCCCCCCAAGCACACTCACCAGCCCCGTCCAGCGCCGGGACAAGTGGTGGAGGACGAACCCGTAGGACTGGCTTACTCACAGTTATGGAACGACCTCCCGGTACGTGAAAGACACATTTGCTGCAATTGTGTTTGAGTTTTTATCTTTTTAGGTTTTCTTCATTTGTTTTATTAATGCGCATGCTTTGTAAATGAATGCAATTGTTGATACCTTTTATTTTATTTCCAAACCATTTTACTTTATTTCTTTCCGTTTGATTTTGGCGTTGTTTCGATGTTGTTATTCGTGTTCGAACCAAATTATACCGTGTAGTGATTAGTCCTGATCTGGTACGCGAAGTAGAGGCACGAATGAATCGCAACTACCTACCTCCATCGCTAATGACTACACCGATGTTGACGGCGCCCCCACTGCCAGCGCACATGTCGAGTGTCGGAGTAGGTGGATCAGGAACGCTTACATTGGGCGGTATGCCGGTATTGCAACCTCCTGGCAGACCGAGCGCACCAACTCCAGTGTTGGGAGGATTTGGATTGCCAACAGGATTAGAACAAAGCTCTCCACCTCCTCCTCCTCCTGGTTCTTCCTTACAGCCCACCTCGACACATCCCAATGCCCCTTGCACTGCACTGCAGAATGTTTGTAGTAGACGCTTTGCTAGAACATGTAAACTGCCTACCGTTCAGGAAATTGGTAAGTCAATCGAGCTGCGATACACTCCGACATCTTCGCCGATTAACCGAGATCATACATGCCGCTGCCCATCTACTAATCACTACGCTCGATTATTCACTCGCTTTCTACTGATAGGTGTAATATGTTGGTGTTCATTTCATTTTCTCGCTTAAGGACAAGGTTGATATAAATCAGTAATGGCCGTTGTCATGATCAGTCACAATAACGGCCATTTGTGGATTCTGCCAACAATCTTGTCCTTAATGAGCCATGGTTACTCCAAATGTTTTGGACTGATCATCATCATCCTCAAATCATGCCGTATGGTCAATAAATATGAAAACTTCTATCCCCTATCAACAGGCCGGTACAGCCCCGTGCGGCGAGCTTCGGAGGGTTCCAAGATCAACACACAATTCCAAAGACCATTCCAGGAGTGCCAGCAGCTTCAAAAGGGTCTCAATGCTGGCACTCAGCAACGAAACCTACTGATTACACCAAGTCCACCGTTGGCGGACAATTCGGTGAGTTTGCCAGGCTCACCAATGCACTGCAAGCCCTTTGACGATAGATCTCAGCAAGACATAACACTGCCCCAGGATGTGATACTATCACTGGCACCTGGGCTGGAAAAACTAGTGCTGGAAAAGCGGATACAGATCGAGACAGCGAAAAGCATTATAAGTACACGGACAGTGCCATTCGAGGTGCGACAGCAGCTAGGGCTGTTAGCTCACACGGTAAATCCGGACCTGGGTTATGCGTTACAACAGCAGCTGCAGCATAGCCAAAGCGTTTCGCCTCTCACAGCACGACCGGGCACACTGCAGCCCACCAACTTTGCGGGTAGTAGTATAGGTTCAGCAAATTACAGTTATTTCGGTGGTCTACCGTATCCTACGTTCGCTACGCCAGGAACAATACCTGGACTGACTTTTCCAGGAAGTAATAGTAATAGTGGGTGTCCTTCCCCTGTGTATTATAATGAATGTCCCTCGCCCATCCTACCGACTGGGGGCGGTGCCTCGCCGATGCATCAAATAACACGTGGTATTAGTATTATGAACACCGGAGGAAGTGCAACTTCGGCTGCGGGAGGTTCGATTACTAGGGGAACCTCGGCCGCCTTTTCGGTGTCTTGCAATGAGCCGCTAGATCTTAGTATGGACGTAGTTAATAGTGAGGAACTAGATTATCCAAGAAATAATTTCCTGATTAATCCATCGGCAACCAGTGGTTCGACTCTTAATTATTTAGATATGAAAAATTTTAGCCTTATGCCACCACAACAAATGCGTCTAACTGCAACACCCCCCACTTCGCCTAATCTATGTATTATACAAGAGGAGAATCCTAACGCTGCTTTATTCCAAGGTAGTATACCCTTTAAGAGTCAATCTGCCGGAGCATCTCCGGAGGATTTGAGCTTTCAACATACTCATCCCCAGATATACTTGACGGATGTTCAAGGTAGTGAAATAACTCTGGTGGCATCGTCTGACTCTAGTCATGATAGTGACGATTCGCTCAACTGCAAGAGCTCAGGACTGGGGTTCCAGGGTCTACTGATATCGGAACCCTCTAGTGATATGCCTTCGATAACACGCGGTGTTGGAAGGAAAGCTAGTCTCGAAACTGAAAACAATTCAACGTCAACCTCGGCAAAGTTGGATACGGACACTAGTGACTCGTATGCCCGCCGAGGAAGTGATAAGTCGCTCGGGTTCAGTGACGATAGTCTAAGCAATGATTCGAATCATTCGAATCTTTCACCTAGTCAAGAGCCGTCCGCTAGCTCCGGCTTCAAGAGTTGCGATTCTCACTCGGAGCAAGACGCACGACTCAGTCCGGATTCGTTGTGTGAAAATAAAACACTCACCGACGAGTGCTACGAGCTGCCTCTGCCGCAGGAATGTTCCACGCTCGACTCTTCTAGAATACTGGAGATGGTTAAGCGAAGAATTGACTCCAAAGTGCCGCCGATGGGGTGCGTTTTCAATGCACCGAAACAGGATCCCGACGGTGGCCAGCACAGTCGAAGCGAAATGGATAGTTCCTTTGCGGTAGGGGAGAGTTCAAATCTTAGTCTAGAATATTCGGGTGGTTTGCAGATCGAGCTGCAGGTGTTCGAGGGACGCATGAAGGACAGTCACAGTGGCAAGGGTATCAAGCTACGGCGGATATCCGGTGACCAGAACGAGTACGGAAAGCTGTGCCAGCAGTTGATCACTTCGCTTACCGTTTGAAAGTACGACAGCCGTTTAACAGTAAAGTGCCGCAGACGTATTTGAGATTTCTCGCCATTTTCAAGCGTAAGCAATATCCTGCCATAGTTGCGAAATTATTCTTCGTGTATCTCGTCGTTAAGTTCGATTTAGGTTTTAATAGGTTACTGGGCATGGGCACTTTGTAGGAAAAAAAATGATGTATGGTTTCCTATTTTTTGGGATTGGTCGATGTCATGGGTCTGGGTAAAGTAATATTTGCAACTTTTCGCGCCACTTTTTCTCACAACTGGTGTGGGTCGTCTGGAAGCATTGGATAGATTTTGCTGGGCTTTATTCTATTGAAGTATCTTTAAACTATCCAACTGTAGGGGTGAAAGAAGTTCATTTACGAGTACCAAATCGAGGTTGTGCTGTGCGCTATTTAACTCATGTATAAGATTTTTTTCGAAAGCAAGATCAGGGATGCCTGGTGTTTTTAGGAATAATCTACACCGAGATCGACGGAAGTATGCACATGTCTTTGCTGCTACTATTCAAGGGTGTGGGGGAGGGTTTTCAATTATTTACGGTTTATAAAACTGAGCCTATACATACGTTGAGCAGTTTGTAGAAAGTAAGGCAACATCACTTGATTTCAGAGAACTTCGGAAAAGTCCAGGGAACGTTGTACGACTTCCATTAGATCTTCACGAAACTTCATAGAACTTCATAGAATTTTAGGAAACTATAAAGAAGATCTTTATATCTGCGTGGAAAATCAGGAAACTTTCTAGAATTGCAGCAAAGTTTGTAGAAGTTCAGCTAACTTTGTAGAAGCTCTGAGCAAATTGAACTTTAGTGAACTTAGTCGAAGGGCAGATAATTTTTTATTCATCAAAGTTTATAGAAATTTAGAGAATTTCATAAAATTCGACATCAGGGAACCTCGGAAAACTTCAGGGACATCTTAGATGTTCAAGTTACATCGTAGGAATTTAAAAAAAAATCGTAGAGCTTCAGAGGACTTAGTGCAAATTCTAGAAAATATTGTAGATGCGGGAACATTGTACAAGTTTGGAGAACTTCATAGAAGTTATGGAAACTTTATTTATTTTAGGGAACTTCATACAAGCTAGTGAACATTTTTTTATCTCCATCGTACTACGTTGAAGTTTAATAGACTTGAAAATAAGTTAGGGAATTTCGTAGAATCTTGGAAAACTTCGTTAAACTTTAGGAAACTTCGTAGAAAAAACATACCGGGAACTTTGTAGAAGTGCTGCGAGCTTTAGACTATTTTTTTTCCTTGATTTGTTTCCCGTCGATCTTGTTTTCCGTGCTGAGCACCAATGTTACCGACGCCAGGAAGGCAGCTCCCACGCCTGGACCCTACCTATCGACCCATCAACTCATGAACCGGGGACCAACAGCTTTACTTCCCTTCCGAAGGAAGGCGTGATCAGAGATGTTATGCCTCAGAACATTCCGGCGGCGCCGACTGGAATTGAACCCATGCCTGATGGGGTGAGAGGTAATCACGCTTACCACTACACCACCGGCACCGCTGATCTTCTTCAGACTAGTTTAGTGAACTTTGTAGAAATTTAATGAATTACGTAGCTATTCGAGAAACTTCGTAAAATTTCATGGAAGTACAGGGATTTATGTTACATTTCAAAGATGTTTGATCGCACACGGGCGGGATCCCTACGTTGTGTTTATGATCGTTGTGATAGGTACGGAGATGAAAATAAATATAGCACACAGTTTGCTTGACCTTCCTGCCATGGCGGAGGTATTCGAGATACTATATTGTTTTCTATGTTTCTTTGTATAGTAGCTACAGCGGGTAGGGTAGTTGTACATGTAGATGACGTTGCACAAACCATGTTCTTAGAAGCTCGACCTAGAAGTTCAGAAAATTCCGCTCAGGAAATGTCATAGAAGTTCAGCAAACTTCTAAATACCATAGACCAACACTAAGACCAAGGAGTCCCGATGAAACATACTCAATATTTTGGCTCAGGAAGTACCAGACCTTCGGTCCCAAGCTGATTGGAGCACCCCTCGGAAATCCATGAACCCCTCAATTAACTTTGAGACGATTCAAAACAAACACAGATTGAAGTACGAAAATGGGGTACGCATATAGATGTACTTGGGACCAATGGGCTAGTCAAGTAATAAGCTAATTTAAAATCATTAGTTTCGTATTGATTGCTGCAATACTCCGTATAAGTTTAGGGAACTTCGTAGTAGTTTTTCAGAGAACTGGACAATGCTCTTCTTGGAATATTAGGGAACTTCGTTTAATATCAGGTAACTGTCCAGATGATCAGAAATAAACGTATAAAAATTCAGAGTCCTCCCAGAAGTTCTGATAAGTTCATAGATATTCTGAGATCTAAAGCTTGTGGAACTGGGAACAAGTTCAGGGAATTTCGAAGAAAGGAATGAGTTATACGAAATTCATCGAACTTGGTAGACATTCAGTAAACTTCATAAAAGTTTGGGAAAGTTTGTATAAGTAATAATATGGTAAAATCGTTGAAGTCCAGTAAACTTCTTATAAGTGGAGTACATTTTTCAGAATTTTAAGAAATTCCAACAAGAGCTGGAATAAGGGCGTAGCAGCTTTTGTAAACAATGACTTCTCTCGATGATTTCTAGGAATTCAAGGCACGCTCACGCAAACCAACATTAACGTTGGCTAGGGAAAATCTTACCCTACCTGATGGTTATGTTGATTTGCGTGGGTGAGCCTTGACTTTCAAGACATCATCGAAAGAAGTCATTGTTTACAAAAGTTGTTACGCCCTAATTCCAACTCAATATTGATGTCTAGGGAACATTATAGAGGCAGTGGATAATTTCGATAAGCTTACTGGATTGAAAAGAAGTTCAGGGAGCTTTGTTTGAATTCTTGGAACCCTGTTTAAGATCAAAAACTTAGTAGAAGTTCAGGTTTTCGTAAAAAGTTAGAGAACTTTGTTGATATACTTGGATTTTCGATAAGATATCTACAAAGTCCATGGATTTTTTCACGATTTTATTATTATTCTGAAGATCTAAAACTGTTCAACAATTCAAATGTCGTCCCTCAGATATTCGTTCAACAATTCAGGTTGATCAGGGAGAATTCAAAACATATCCAGCAGATCAAAGCTTTCAGTTAAGTTCCTTTCATACTCTCTTCAAGACTTCAGGTCGATCGAGTATTATTCTGAAGATCTTCAACTGTTAAAAAAATGTGCAAGACGTTTCTCAGCTTTTCTCCCTAGATTGATCTCCCTAGATTGCTGGTCGATCAGATGTTATCATGTGAATTAGTTGTTTTTGGTTATTTTTTCCAGTCTTCAGGTTAAGATGATGATCTGGAAATCTTCAAATGTTCAAACTAACATATGATGTCCCTCCGATATTCTTTTAAGATGGCAGCTTGATCAGGAAGTATTTAAAGATTTCCAGCTGCTTGTAGATTTCAATAATGTTCTCTGGATATTTTTTCCAAGATTTTTTAAGACTTCGGGTTGTGTAAGATTATTCAGGAGATCTTCAACTGTACATAAATTAAAATGACATATATTCTACCTAGATGACAGGTTGATCGAGAAGTATTGAAAAGATATCCAGCTGATCATAGTTTTCAATAAAGTCCTCTGGGTATTTTTCCAGACCTATGAAAATCAGTTTTTATTCTGAAGATCTTCAACTGTTCAAAAATTCAAACGTCGTTCCTCAGATACTCCCGCAATATGAAAACGAAATCTTCATTTCTGTAATAAAAATCTTCACATGTCTGGTGAAAATTAAATAAAATGCTTTTTGAAGTTCAGTTCAACAATAAGGAGTCATTCTTTTAAGAGAATATATTAGGCCAACTAATTAAGGAGAATACATTTACACCCACAAACCGTTGGTCTTTGATCTACTGAACAACTTTGCCAAAGACAGCAACTTCCTAGATGGCAAGGATTTCCAGATATGGCATAAAAAAGAAATCACTAATACATGTACACTAGCGCCGCGTAGTGAGAAAATTCCAAGCTTCTTTCCACCAACCATTAGGTTTTGATCTACTGAACAACTTTGCCGAACACAGCAACTTCCTAGATGACAAGGATTTCAAGATATGACATAAACAAGAAAATTACTATTACATGCACACTTGCGCCGCGTAGTGAGAAAATTCTGAACTTCTGTCAACCAACCATTAGGTCTTGATCTACTGGACAACTTTGCCCCAGACAGTAACCTTCTATATGTCCAGGATCGCGAGATATTCCATGTTGGTCCCTATTAGGTCAAATCCATATGCTACGTGTACTCCATTTACGCGATTCCCTCGCATAAACGGAATCATTCGAGACCAACGTAGTTCGCGTTCTTCGGGGGGAGAGTGTATTATCCTTTCCATTTTCCTAACATGTCCTATTCCATAAATTCTTTTCCATATCCTTTTCTCATCCTTTCCCGCTTATAATTCGAACTCACATCGCGACTCTGCCGCTCGCCAACCGTCGCCCGCGAACCACCTGCTCCTCGCCTTTTCTTCTCCGTTCCGGTAACGACATGGCCTATCGCTCGATAATAGCGGTGCCTTTCGTATCGTCTTTGGCCCACCACTTGATTGTGGTGCCGTTCGCACGGATCCTGGGGCCCGCCGGTTGATTGCGGTGCCGTTTGTGCAGACCCACGCCGGGGCTTGTCAACGTCCTTCCACCGATTTGTGTCCGTGCTCTTCGCGTTGGATGGCGTGTCCATGTTGGAATTTCGTGGCACTTCACCAAACCAACCCGTTCGGTCCAATTCTAACGCGGAATTTGGCTTAAAAGCTAGCACTGTTCGGCCGTCCTCGTTTTGCGAGAGGCAGTGGCCTACAAACCGTCGTGTCCGAACCAGCACCAAGAGGGCGATCCTGTTTCGTTCGTCCGTATCTTCCTTCGATCGACCTCGTTGAGCGCATGTCATTTGATCACGATAAATACATTTTGTATTCCCTGGTGACGTAGATTTCACTGCGGACTGGAATGAATGAGGCTCGGCAGTGGCATTTTTCATCAAATTTGAAATCATCATTGAAATCATTATTTGTTAAAAGTTCGGGCAGACTGCGTAGCCAGATAAGTACTCTACTGCTAAAGCTTTGTTCAACTTTCCAAAAAAATCAAGTCTCGTGTAACATTTGAAAAGGGTCTATCATTATTGATCGATTTTCTTCATAGACTTTCTTTTTGGTTTACCACGGCAACATAAACGAATTCCTCGCTAAGCTCGCAGTACAGTTCGACAGAAGATGATGTTAGCTTGCGCCTGAAACAACACACCCAACGGGAAATTCATTTTCAGTCGGGTTATTCGCGAAAGAAAAAATCAATGAAGATAATCGATCAACAATGATAGGGCCTTTTCTCGTGTTGCGCGAGAAGTCAAGGAACGTGCACACATTGTTTTGTTTATTTTTGCTGAATCTCAATACTCAGCAAAGAATTTTTCGAGACTCAACAATTAAACGTTACTTTGCTGAGATCTCAGTAAAAGAGATTGCCGAGCGCTCGGCTGTGAAAATCTCTGCAAAAAATTGCTGAGATTGAGATTGAGATTTCGCAAAAAAATTAACTGTGTGTAATAACAAATTTCGTTGAAAAGTATTCATTGAAAATAAACAATCATCATCTTATCTGGACTGTTCACGTTTCCGTTCACAAATATTTTCTATGTAAGAGGAACGCTTACTCAGATAAGATTTCCGAAGCATTTCATTTGAGACAAAATGTGTCAAGATCGATTGTGTAGCTGCCGGAATAATTATCAACAAACTATTGCTCTTCGACTTCACGAGTGGTGATTCCAAACGAAATCCACGTGGTCAAAAATACGCTGGAAAAAAAAAGTACTAACGTGCTAATTCAAACGACGATGTTCTACGACATTAGAGCACATTATTGTGCTATAAGCTTATAGCGAGAAGGTTCACTTCAAATCGAAAGTCTGACTATAATTCGTGGTTCTCAAAACACATCTTGGCGTTGCGATTTGCATTCAGTTTGTTCCGTGAAATTCAAATACGACTGCCTGATAGTTGACCGGTCCGGTCAATTATGTTGCTCTAAACGGCTGCGTTCCAGTTGTCCTGGAATTGGAAAAAAGATTTCTGTGTGTTCAAAGTTTGTTTCGCTGAGCCCGAGTAGGTGCTGTGCTCTTAAACAACATCATAAATAAGTGTTAATCTGAAGAGAAAAAAAAAAACACTCTAAATTTTATTTATGGAAAACCGAAAGGTTCCCCAATTTGACTTTAATCGATGCAATACGAGAAATTGTCTCCTAGATTGTGAGAACGAAAATAGCTAGAGAACGGATTTTTTTAAATGTTATGTCGTCATAGTCTACGGTTGTGTCTTTGAAGAGATGGAAATTATTTCTGTTTGCCATGCTTGAAACCGAGTTATGATGTTTTTTTTAATATGA